CACTTTCATAAAAAATTCTTATATTTAAAATGCCAAATATCTTCATTTTTAATTTTCTATAAATAATATGCTTTGGCTAAAAGATAAAATAAAATTTTTGATGAAATAATTTATCACACTTCCAAACTCATCATCCATCTAGCAGCCAGTTTGCAATTACAAATCAACATCTCAAGGCAAAATTTTATTTTAAAAATTTTTAGTTTTTAATATTTTATAGTGTTATCATAACTCCTTTGTTTTTATTTTAGTTTACCTTTATCATGATATTTGAGTTTATTATTTTAGTTTACTTTTATCATGGTATTTGAGTTTATTATCTTTGATAATTGAACTCGAATTATTTGTTATGAACTCTTGACTTAAAAAATTATTTAGTTACAATAAATTTTTAAAATTCAATTATAAAATGAATAAAGCTTTCTTTTTCAAAACAAAAAACATTCTTAAAGAAAAATAGGCATCCTTAAAAAATTGTGATAAAAGTGATACTTTTTTAATATAAAATCTAGAAAGAACTAAATGCCTAATATTGATGATAAAAGATTCATTATAATCTTAAAATAATTTAGAAAAAAGGTATAACAACCAAATAAAAAAATTACAATTCTTTCAAAAATTACCTATGAATGGATCTATTTATAATTCAAGTATAATTCTACAAATATTTTAAATTATTTGATATGGAGAAAATGAATATTGATGAAGACATATTATAGACGATACACTTTTTATTTTTTATGCCTCAAATATACTCTAAAAATAATAATTTTGAACAAGTAGTTTTAACATATATATTCAAAATAAATATATATTTTCTTGTTATCAACAAAATTATAAAGTTTGATGAAAAAATACCAATCAACACCATTGGTTTGATTCCACTCCTTGGAAAGAATGTAAAATCATATTATAATAATTATTATTATGAATATAGTTGTAGAAATGAAATTATGCAGAAATAAAAAGATTTAGAAAATAAGTTAATAAAAATTTAAAAGTTGTTATTATAAATGTAATATAAATGAACATTAATTACATATTTTTAATATATCTAATCAATTTATGTATTCATCGTATGTCTCCAAGCACGCAGTTGATTTACATGAGATCGGAAAAGATATAAAAACAAAATTTGTAGAAAGCAATTATATGGACATGCATTTTGATACAAAATTTAATTTCAAACTTGAATATCTCATTTTTATTTTGAAAATATTAAAAAAAATAGTTCAAATATTAGAGAAATCAAAAATACATTTCAATACATAAATTGTGAATTAAAAAGAAAATATTTTTAATATCAAGTTTTCTTAATAAAAAAATTTACATCTAATAAATAAAGGAGATGCCGTGGCTGGATTTTTGGCGTGACTATAAGTATTTCTATATTAATATTTTTCTTATTAAAGGTACAAGTTCTCACGTGGTAGCATCACAGCAAACGCTCCTGAATTGGTCCCCCTTCACTGCTCAGTTCAAATGAGGGGCAAGAACAGGTACTTCCCACCAAGTAAGAGGAACCCGACAACAGCTCTGAGGTTCCCTTTTGCACCTCTCCGTAGCTGGGTTTGTTCTATCTGTTTTCTTTGTCTTTTGCCATCAAATGGCGACAATCGAAGGGGGAGATTTGAACGGTTTAAATGGACAAAGGTTAGAAAAAAATTAGAGTTTCTAGGGTACTTTCTTCCACTATAAATAGAGGGAAAAAAAAAAAAAAAGAGTTCCCCCCAATTTATTAATAACTTAATTTAAGAAATCATTTATTATCTACTACTCTTTTTTCATTTTAGTCTAGAATTTTTGTCTTTCTTCAAACTCATCTATTAATTTTTAAAACTGTTTCGCTTTCGTCTACGCCCATGCAACTCCGTTAACTACCTTAACAAAACTTCACAATTCTAATTGGGTGATGCCATGTAAGCCATACCGTGGCACCACTTAAACTAATATGTGACCTAAAAAATGGGAGAGAAAATT